GTCAGAGGCAGTGCGGTTGGCGCAGGATAGAGCAGGGTTTAGGGCTTTGTGCATAGGGTCGCTATGAGTCGAAAACGACTCGATGGCACATAACAACAACAACAATTTATAGAGTAGAATGTGAATGCCTAGTTTGTCAACAATTATTGGAAAATACTGTTTGAAAGGCAAAAAGGTTAAAGCTCTACATTAACGCATGCTTCTTGTAGTTATGTGCCAGAACTGATTAATAGCTGAATTTTCAGCTATTTTCAGAAGCTGTAAATCACTCAAAAGGAGATCGCCCATCTTTCTCGCATGGAGCTGCTGGTGGGTTTGAACTGCATGCCTGTGAGCTGGCAGTGCAATGCTTCATCACTAGGCCACCAGAGCAGTGTGTTTGTAGATTCAGACTGCATGCCTTTGGGTTGACAGTGCAACTCTTTATCCCTAGGCCACCACAGCAGCATGTTTTTGTTGTTTTGTACCAACTCAGCACCAACCCACAGTAGATGCTCCAGTGGATTTTCAGAGACAATTGTACAGAAAGAGATTGCCCATCTTTCTCCTGTGGAGCAGCTGGTGGATTTGAACCATGTGTCTTTGAGGTTTTAGCACAGTTTATTACCACTAGGCCACTAGAGCGCCCAAAAACTTACAGGCATGTTTAGTACCTATACTTTTTTTTTTAAATCATATTAAGTGACTCTGTGAGTCATCTTACTTTCTCCACAGTGCTGTAACATTAGTATTACAAATTGGATAGTTTTAAGAAACAGTTTATTTTCCCATAATTTATGAGGTTCAAATTTAGGACCTGACTTTAAGGAATGACTTTCTTTCACTCTGTTCTGGAGGAAAGTCTTGATTTAATTTCTTTTTAGTGTCTTTCCCTATTTATTTGGTACTCTTCATGGAGCATGTACTTGTACTTATTTCTCTGTGCCTAATCAACCCTTTATATCTGATTAGGTTTATGATGGGATAAACCTAATAACACTCCCTAGGGAGTATTACATTCCACCCTTAATCCTCCTACAACTCTGGTTTATTGGGGAGGATCATTACATAGTTTCCACCATATATACTTGTATTTTGGAAACATAGTTCAACTCATGACTTTTTTTTTTTTTTATTTCAATCATATATTTGACGATGGTTTGTTGTTTTGGGGAGTTTTATTGTTCTGTCCTCCCATGTTGTAAATCATGTGTTCAACCTTATTGAACTCATCTCTATGAGTCTGTGTGGGAGATGTATTTAAGATTTTATTGTAATTTCTATATAGTAAATCATGTCATCGCAAATAAGGTGGTTTTATGTCTCCTTTTTAATACTTATGTATTTTCTTTACTTTCCTTATTGCACTTAACTAAACCTTCCAGAATTTATCATTTAAAACAACTGTATTTTAAAACTTACAGGGATATAATTTTAAATTGAAAACATAATAGCAGAACAAAACTGCTTACAAAGTAGTATTCCTTTTGATAAATTTTAGTATAAGCTCAGCTTGTCAACAAATACTGATCAGTTTTCTC